TAAATTTTTGCAATTTCTGGTATTTTATAATAAACTACAAATGTCAACAATATCCCTAAGATCAAAATCAAACGAGGATCGTTGGTGGATTGTCGAGTCATAATAACCATTTGGTCCAGGTTCGCATTGACCCCAAGAACATAAGCCGGCTGCTCATACTCTCTTGCTCAAAAGTATAAATAGAATAAGCGGCCATTTTGGAATTGTGTTTGGTAATTTCTCAATTACGACCAATTAAGAAATGGTTCTCGACGTTTCGCCGTCAAGGGTGTCTATATAAATTATTTTTGACCTGTTTTTTATGTAGAATAGAAATTCTTATCAATTCAAAATAAATAAAGGCAGAAAACCCTAAACAAAATGACAGTGAATAATAACTGGAGTTATTTCACGTGCAAAACGCGATAAAACAATAATGTACTCTATTAGTAGGTAATATGATAGAGAATCGTTCGTACCGCTAAACGCAACATTGTAATGCATCGTGTACTTAACACAAAAGGTACAGGAGTGTGTCTTAAAATAATAGCCGTGTTTATCTGAAGATAAATACATACACGAGTATTTGAAAAGGCATTTTAGATCTTAGCTGGGAATTAAGCTAGACCAAAGAAAGGGCAGCTTTCTTACCTCGTAGGTTAGAGGTGTTTTTTTATTTATTTCACACTTTGCTAGATACAAGAGTATGAGAAGAACTAAACTTAGACCACAAAAAAAGAAACCTACTGAAACTTAGGACTTGTCAACGGGGATTTGAACCCAGCTTTATGGTAGTCAAACTGAAAGCCCGAGTAAAACACAGCATAATAAGAAAGGCGACAAAGGCCAAAGACATCAGGATGACTTCTATTAAGCAGAAGTGGGCATGGACTGGGCACTGTTACGAGTGAAGGACAACCGTTGGTCCCAGGAAACGAGGTAGACCGTTGCCATGACGACCAGGTGGCATGACGAATAAAAGGAAACTGCAGGCATGTTCCGGGAACAACGCTTCCAAACAGAACGAGTGGAACTTATGGAGAGGCTTTTACTGCATTTGACAAATATAAATAAATACTGTCTATAGTTTACGCGAATAGTACACATTTAAATAAAACACTTTAACGGTTTAAAACGCGATATATTAGTTAAACTTATTTGAAAATGATTGTTATGTGACCCGTGACCACGGCTGCTGCAAAGCATCCGAAACGTCGGTCCGAAGTTAAAAATCATTTTCAAATAAGTTTAACTAATATATCCGTTTTAAACCGTTAAAGTGTTTTATTTGAATATGAATAAATTGTTAACGGAACGTAAAAAGTTTGGTAATAAAATTTTTTATTATTTTACATTTTACTTGCGTAAACCACAGACAGTATTTAAGGACTTAATAATTAAACTAACCAATGTGCAAGTGTACTTACTTACTACTTGATAACCTATTTTTAGGCTAACTATTAGTAAAGTACTAAATTATTTTTAATTATTGCGTTAACATTCTTTCGGTTTAACTATTTCCGTGTAAATAAAATAGTCTGTTGAAACTCGGTCTTTAGCATAGAAGGCACCACTTACCTAATATTGTCCCAATACTGCTTAGTACAGGTGTCGGCTCATGGCTTATGGGGGAGACGGTCACAGATGTAGGGTTTCAACGACTACCGCCAAGATTATAACTTAAAGGAACACTTCAATATACCTATTCTCTATAGTTAACGTGAGTAGTATTTATTTAAATATCAAATTTCGATCAACGTCGTACATGATATTTCTAAAAATATCAACTACGATGAAACAGATGGCGCTAGTGTAGCAGATCAATTTTATTTATTAAACTTTATTAATTACAAACACCACAGGAATGGTTTACAACAATAAATTCTTATGTACTAGGTTATAAGTAAAAGGCGGCCTTATCGCTAAACAGCGATCTCTTCCAGGCAACCTGAAGTGAAGAGAATTACAAGGACTATGAAAAAGAAAGGCAATTAACAGCTGGAAAGATAAAATTCGGTAACTGAGACTTTAAAAGTAAGGAGCGATTGAGCTTTTCTGGCTTTAATAGTGTTGTTAAAGAAGGAAGTCTTATGCGCAGGAATAAATAATAAAAGATCATGTATCGAGCGAAGACTCAAATTATGTGAGCTTAAAGGAAGAAAGTTTATTTTTAAATAAGCTGGGAATTTAGGGTCGAAAAGCATAGGATGGGATTAGAAGGACATGAAGATTTCTTCGAGAGCGGATCGGAAGCTAGTAAGTTGAGTTTGACATTAGGGACACCGCCATCTTTGAGACTTCAACTGCTTCAACAAAGCATTCTAAATGCAGTTAAAATAAATAAATAAATAGTTAAGTAATAGATTTCGCGTTTTAAACCATTCCACATGTTTTATTTGAATCTATTATTATTAACTTGTTTTAACTAATAAATCCATTATGCGATGTATACTGTGGGTGGTCTGAACCATCATTACGAGCATACAATAATGAGATAACGAGCTACGAGGCGTAACACAGTGATATTTTGACCATAGCATTGTTCTTGCTATCGCGATGATATTTTGACCCTAATTTTTGTCCGTCTAAATTCTGTAATGTATAAATTATTCGGAACAAAGATCTCTTTAATACTACGTAGGGTGACCATTCTTCCAATAGACGTAGGTATCACATAACAAAAATTTTACACTACACAAAAACACGGTATACTTTACATTTACACAACCGGTACAATACAGATAGATATAATTTAAATAAAACACTTTTAACCGTTTAAAACGTGATATATTTTAGTTAAACTTGTTTGAAAATTACAAGGGTCTCCCCGTGACCACGGTTGTTGCAAAGCAGCCGAAACATTGGGTCGTAGTTAAAAATAATTTTCCGACAAGTTTAACTAAAATATATCGCGTTTTCAACCGTTAATTTGTTTTGTAATTTTTTAAATGTTACCAAGATGTCTAACCTGCTGTAAGTAAATTCAATTATCTATACTAATATATAAAGCTAAAGAGTTTGTTTGTTTAAACGCGCTTATCTCAAGAACTGCTGGTTCGAATAGAAAACTTCTTAATGTGTTGGTTAGACGGTACAAGATACCCAAAAAAATATGTATCAAATAACGATTCATCTTTAAACTATCTATCTATCTATCTTGAAAAAACGTCCGCGAAGTTTCCCTAAGTAACTAATCTACGTGGACGAAGTCGCTGACACAGCTAGTGTTCAGTATAGGATTTTGACATTATTTTATCCTACTTTCACATGAATATATGGTGCCCCTGGTAGCGACGTGATCATTTACTTTAACCTCTTATCTTGGGTCGGCATCACGGACCGCGGTACATGAAGCGAACAAAAACTGACGTTTATGTTTCTCTACGTGCTCACTCGTACCCCCATAATGGTCTTAAACTAGCATCTAGAGAACCACTTCGTATACATTTAAATAAAACAATTTTAACGGTTTGAAACTCGAAATATATTAGTGAACTTTACTTTATTTTTGCGTAATCGTATATGTCGCCATGTTCTCTATTCATCAAGAATTACAATAATAAACACTTATACACGCGGAATGTATCAGTAGCCTTTCTTTGTTTTTAACTAGGTTATATTTTTTATTATAGAGGAGAACAGACAAGATTATTTTCTTGATGTTATGCGATATACCCCAGCTATATAACATTTGGGCTTTGATATTCGGATATACTATAATATATTTCACGTTTTAAACCGTCAGAAGTCTTTATTTAAAATTTGTACTACTCGCATTAAATATAAACAATGTGTAACCTTGCAATGGGTTTATCCATCAAGAATTTTTAATAATATTTAAAAACATTGAAAATTATTATTTTTTTCATATTATAAGCACATGAAGGCACAATACAATTTAAAAATCGAAAATAAATTGAATGAGCAGACTTGAAGCATCGGGGTTCTGGGCTGTTGCTCTACCAAACCGGCCGGAGAAAAAACTGACGATGCCGGTTCAAATCCTGCTCGAGTCGAAAATTTTTTCAATTTATTTTCCATTTTTAAATAATATTTAAAACACTTTAGAAAGTTATCATAGAAAATTACTATTATGTTAGTTAAACCGTTAAATATAAAAATCTTCTGTTTATAAAAGTCTAATAGTGTGATTTTCTTTAAAAACGTTTGTATGAAAAATAATTTGATACATGTCTAGTTCATACTTTCTGAGCCCTTATATATTTATGTACGACGCATAATGGCTCCTGTGTCGCGTTTGGGGTGCGCTGAAGTGTCATTGCATTCTGAAGGGACGAGTTTGTGTTGTAGTCATGCGGGTGGCAGTGGAACAATTGCCTTTTGTCCTCTAACAGCCGACATTTACTTGACGAAAGCAAAGAGAGTAGCAATATATGGCTATATATCAACAGTTCGTGAGGTCGATCCCCATCATGTTTCTTATCGATTTATAAGTTCTCTGAAACATGTTGGAGTTCATCTTCGTCTATCAAAGCAGCGTCCATAGATGAAAGAACCGTGACGTTTAATCACGTTTTGGGTTTCAGTCTGTGGATTGCCAAAATAAGTCGATAGCGCATCTTGTTGAGATGCTATATGGCTGAGTACCATCAAGGGAACCCCATTGTCTTCTATCCTCGTCTATCATAATGTGTGTTATGATTTTCCTAATCTAAAAATGCTGTGTTTTACGGCACTCAATTGGATACAGAAGATTCATTTTTTTACTTACGTACCTATACAATTCGAGCTGTGATAGTGGGTATCGTTAAACAGTTGTAACACGGGCTTGATAAAAAATCTAATTAAAGAAAATAACACAAACTTTCCCTACATCGTTTCTTTTAGAGCAAATATGCAAGAAATGACGTCCCTGAAATCTATACATAGAATTAAGATATATGATGGTGTCTTTTGTATTTATAATTTAGTAGATTTATAAATATTAACAACAAAATCAAATAAATAATGTCTAGCACTTCATGTCTGTATGGCTGTCTAAAGTCAGCGCCTTTTTCCATTTACACCACATTTCCCTCTATCGGTTCTTTCTTTACCTCGACATAAAAAACATCTTCTATGTCATCATTGTGGTAATCATTTTTATCCTTCTCTTTCTTAACACTTTCCTGTAAGTCTAGATTTAATTCAGAAATATAATTTATAGAACAAGAAGTATCCGAATTACCTTCTATGTCACAACAGACTTTCTTTGTCGTACTTTGATCAACACAATGGATAGATTTTCGCAACTTCTTCAATGAAGATAATTTTTTATTTAAATTGTGATCCTCTTCTTTTAACGTCTTAATTGTCGCTGCTTGTTCCGAAATCACTAAATCCTTTTCATTAAGAAAATTCGGAAATTCTTGTTCTGTTGCTGGAATATTTGACTTTTCTCGAAACTTTTTCATCTGTAAATGCGATTGTATATATTAAAAATAAAAATATTAAACCCCTTTGAAACCAGCAAAGCACAGAGTAACCACAGAATCTCTTAGAGCTAAGTGATATTTAGTTACATATCATCATTATCAACGTAGGAACTTCGACCAGAACTATCAATACTAATCTATAACAGGCATTTTGTAATTACTCTCTGAATTTCATCTTGTCCTAATAAAGCTTGTTCTGTAGAGAGTTTCTTCAATTGCTTCGCAATATATTTTCCGAATACATCAAATTCGTCTTCTCCAGATTTCAATTTGGATAAGTCATACTGCATTTCTTTCATATTATTTCCGTTCCGTAGCTAAATAAAATTAGGAATTTCGAAATTCCGTCCGGTTCATAATCAAGCCGAGAAGTTCAATCGCCTTTTGGTTTCATTCCGTGGGTTTTCGAATATTTAAAATCAAAAAAGGTCGACAACGCATTTTATTTAGATGTTGAAATTGTCAAGTGAACCACATGTTTGTCTTCCTCTATCATAAAACGGGTATGTCTAGTTGTGCTCTTATAGGACTGTAGCCTAAACCGTCAAGACAGGTTTCAGCAAAGTCAGTTTTTATTTATACCGGAAATGGAAAAGAAATTTAAGTAAAATAGTTTTATACCGTTGGGCTCCATCGCAACTAAACTAGTTAAGCTTGGTGGAAACTTTGATGAAAACCTCGCCACGGTTTCGTCTCTGGAGACAATGGGACGAAGAACTTATCACACATAGGACTGAACGCTAATCAGTTGACCATCGGGTGGGGCATGCGGCAAATATATATCTGTGGTCAATCCTTTGTAAATTTTATTTGGTTCCTTGCTTTTTTTTAAATTAAGCTACAAAGGTTGTCTATACTAAAATATAGGTATTCAAATAATATTTATAAAAGGAGAAGAGGGAAAAATCAATAAATAAACCGGACTGGTCTTTATTCAGCCTTAATAAGGAGGAAGTTGATAATTTTAAGCAGGGATGGACAACTTTTTAAATGAACCACGTCGAATTTTGAATTGGTCTAAAATTGGATGTTTCTAGAAAAATACACAACTATCATATTTATTACATTGGAATGTACATTTTTAACATATTTTTAATGCGAAAAACATAGTTGTTTTGCAATTTTAATATTAGTTTAATGTAGCTTTTATGTATATGCTTATAATTTAATTAAATATAATTTTAAAAATTAAAGTCATCTTCGACAACCACTTGTTGCTCAAGCCGGATGCAAAGGATTGATTGATTAATTCTATATTCATTTATAATAGTCCCAAACAATATTCTTTGTTTAAATTAAACACTTTTAACTGTTTGAAACTCGAAATATATAAGTTAACGTTATTCAAAGCCCGACATTTCAGATTGATTAAAAATACGTTAACTAATACATCCGCGTTTTGAACCATTTAAAATTTTTATATTATATAAATGTCGATACTTCTGCTCGTTATAAAAGTAGTATCACACTTATAACGTCGGGCTGTAGTTAAAATACTTAAAATTTAAATAAATATTTCGAGTTTTAAACCGTTAAGAGGGTTTTATTTAATCACATAATAGAAGTTAACGATAGATCTATGCTTCAGAACTAGTTTCGAGAACAATACCTCACTTATGACCCGTTGAATCGGCAAGCCTCCAGCGTAACCTGTTCGACAATGATCCGGCGACGTGGGCCACACGATAACCAATCGAAATGCAAGGCGATAGAGTTTATTTTCCTCCTTCAAATCTGGTGAAACGGGTTTGCGTATGATACTGGCAGAGCTTAGAAAGAAATATAGTTAAACAGCGACGTCGTGCTGTACGGAATCGTTTTTAGGGTTCCGTATTGTATAGGTAAAGGCTTATAATACTTAGAATTATGCCTATCTGGTTGTTACTAGGCTAAACATACAATAACCACGATACCCAATAGTTCTATAATTACAAATACAAAGAATAAATTAAAATAAAATTTGTCTATTCGTATCGTAGTCCTAATTAGTTACTCATAAGATATTTCGTGTTTAAAACCGTTAAAAGTGTTTAACTTAATATGTAGTACTCGCGTAAACTATGAATAATTACAAAAAAATATGAATATTTAAAGTGGAGGTAAGACAAGTGACTTAAAATTACTAAAAAACGTTTACATTAAAATACAATACATTATCTTTTTTTTATGATAGAGAAGGACAGACAAGCCTAGGTTTCATTTCACTCCAGCCATATAACAAGATGCGTTGTTGACCTATGGCTTTGGATATTCGGGATTCCACAAATTAAACACCGAAACGCGATTAACTCCGCGGCTTCATCTGTGGACGTTGGTTTGTGACCCGGACGGAATTCGAATGTTCCCCCCACCCGTTTAGTATGTAAAATTCCAGACATAGTCCAAAGTGTTTCAGAAGAATTGAAGCATTCTAAAATGATAAGAAACCAAAGAAGATATTAGCCATACATTGCTACTATTTGGTCACTGACGAGCTTGTCAAATTACTCACGGAGAAGATGGACTATTAAACGCTGGATTTAAATAAAACACTTTAACGGTTTAAAACGCGATATATTAGTTAAACTTATTTGCAAATGATTTTTGACTTCGGCCCGACGTTTCGGATGCTTTTCAGCAGCCGTGACCACGGCTATATAATAAGTTTAACTAGTATATCGCGTTTTAAACCGTTAAAGTGTTTTATTTAAATGTGTACTACTCGCGTAAACTATAGACAGTATTTAAACGTTGGATTGCCATCAAAATTTATTAACAATTAACAAAATAGAAGCCAAAGCTATTTCTCAACAAACATACCGAATTCCCTTGGATGATAATAATTAGACGTTTCTTCGAAGCTTTTATTTCCTTCCGGATATATCCTCCTAAGTGCTTTATTTTCCTTTTGAACCCTCATTAAAGGAACCCCCCCTAATTAAGGACGTCATTAGAATATCTGTTTTTCACATACTTCCTAATGCTGATTGCTTTGGATTTTCTCCAGAATTTTCCTTTTACAAAAATGTTACAGTCAATTAAAATTTAAAGGTAATTCAAAGAAATAAAACAGTTAAGATATATACTGCGTTTTAAACCGTTAAAGTGTTTCATTTAAATGTGTACTGCTCGCGTAAACGACAGATACCATTTTCGTAGTCGATGACCCGGAGTATCAACTTCCTAACGTCATTCCATCAAAGTATTTCCTTCAATACCAAAAGGGTGGGGCATTCATTAAAAATTCAATTGTTAGTTAATCTATGGGCTAACGAACCGTGGCTATCATTAGGCCGCTTCTATGAAATAGGTACGTCACTTTTCAATTACGATGAGAAATAAGGCTACGGTCTCCGATCAACGCGATACGCTGCTTTAGGATGCTTTTTTATGATACAGGACAGACATGGTGTGGGGTTCTCTTGATGGTGATAAACAGCCTATAGCATCTAAGCAAGATGCGCTGTGGACGTATTTTGACTTTGGATATTCGGAAATCCACAGACTGAAACCGAAAGACGATTAAGCTTACGAAGACGACTTTTTCATCTGTGGACGGTGGTTCGTGACCCGGACGGAATTCCTATATTCCTACCACCCATTCAATATCCAGATTTCCAGACGAAGTCAAACATGTTTCAGGAAAATTATAAATCGTATAGAAACATATTGGACCTGGTGGGAACCGAAGCCACGACTCGTTGATTGCTAGGTCATTGCGTGTGCTTGACGATTTTGTAATAATTTGACTAAATAAATGGACTAAAAAAACGAGCTCACTCTAAGGGTTTTCTAAAGAACGAGAAAGAAAATGCGGGAAGAATATTTTATTAATTTGTTACATTTAAACACATACATTACACTTTAAATTGCTAATTTATATAAAGTATGAATTTTTGCTTTGCTGCTTTAAAAAGCAAAGCAATGTCCCCCGTAAGGTTATATGGATCAATGCGTAACACACGCTAGCCCAACAGCGTATATAGGAGACCACAGGCTAAGTTGTTATTGTCATAGAGCGCTCTGTAGTTTTTTCCTAATTATATATGTATGTTTTTAAAAAATTATCATCGTCATCTACTATCTCTGGAACTCGTATCTCGAGTTTCAGAGATAGTTGATGGTATGAAAGGTACACTTCATTGTGGCACGACACATGTCAATTGATATTTTGGTTCTAACTTATGTCAGATTTGTTATTAGACTTTCCCAGGATTTTGATCGATGTTTTTAGTGCACCACTGCTTATCGAACACCCGACCCTACGGTGGACAATAGGGCCATACCTTACTGCCATACTGATAAACAAGTTATGTCAAATACCGTTTCCCCTAGAGTCCATTTCATTTATTAATTTTATTTATGAACAATTCATTGTTTAGATTTGTATAATCTGTAGCCTATTTTTCAATTGTGGACCGTGGTTTGTGACCCTAACAGATATAGATATTTATACCACGTAGTCTAGATTTTTTCAAATGGCCAGAGCTATAGGCTAATACATCACGCTGTGACGAATAGGAGCAAAGGTACAGCGGGAAATATCGTAAAAATTGTGTAAATTAATGATCTTTGTGTGTTTTCGATGAATAAATATGAAAAAATATATTTGAAAGAATGGTTCCTCTTTATTCAATCTAAAAACAAAAGCCGCGACTATATACTCTTTTAAGATTACTTCCAAGAACGATGAGACGCGACCGTGGTGGGTAATAGCCTATTATAAATGGAAGAGGAGGTTTGTGAAAACAAGCATCCAAAATGACTATTCTACGTGACCGATGCCGCTGACACAGCTAGTGTTTGAATAGAGAGAGAGAAGATGCTGAGATGGAGAGACGGGTGGTAATAGAATCCACGGCCAGTTGATTATTAGCAATTATTATTTTTTCCTTCGTAACTCATAAGACTCTCGTGAGGTTAATAAATATAACAAGTCGGTACAGGCATTTTTTGCTTTAACACTGACAGCAATGACATCATGCAGTCATGTTTGAATAAATTATCCGTGAACAAAAACTGTGCGAAACAAAAAAGTATAGTAGAAGTGACATAGAATAGATTATGTGAACCGGTGTTGGTAAAGATACCGATAATCATATTATGTAATACTAAAGTAGATTTGTTGGTTCAATTAAAGTCTTTGTTATCGCATAATGTGTAATAGAATAGAATAAAAATACCTTTATTCAGAAACAACTCACAAACGACAAATAAACATTTACAGTTAAAACTTATTCTACAAACACACAAATTTAATGAAATATTAAATAAATACACCAATATTCGAAAAGGAAGTCACTCAGCTACGTTGGGACTA